AAAAAAAAAAAATTAAAAAAAAAAAATGAAAGTATAAAATATACTTTGCTTATTGAGGGATTCAATCTGCCAACATCATAACTTGAAGAAAAAAAGGCATAAAAATTCTTTTGAATTGAATTATTATGCCTAAATTCACTTCTAGAATGAATGGTACATGATTAAAAATTACAGAATTTGCCATCTTTGAATGAAAGTCACAAAGTAGCATTATGGTTCAAAATCAAGATGCTTAGTTTTTCTTTTATGGTTTAAAAATCCCCATGAAATAATTTTCAAGCACAACCTAAGGCCTGTCACCTAAAGTCCTATACTAAATAATAGTCATATAATTTAACAAATTCCTGGAGTTCAAATAAAGTCCACAATAAAACAGAATAAGAATTAAAATATTTGTTATAAAAAAGAGAGAAAATAACTATTACCATTTGTCAAAAAAATAGTGATATGAATTTCTTTATTTGCAGTATTTGTCATTTTTATGCTTAAGTCCTTCTTTTTTATGACCATAAAATGAATAAAATGCGCTCTATTTTAACCAAAGTAAGAACTTAACAGTTCAGAGGTACGCTGACCAAGATAGTACTGTTGTACTTCCCGTCACATTGCTGGTATTAATCAGGACCAACTTACCTTTCATCATCTTTAAAATATGGCTCCACAAATGCTTTCTGTTTGACTTTATCTTGCTTATCACCATGAGCTGTAAACAAACACACATAAAGGGAAAGAATCAAGCATTTAATTATAACACAAACTGAATGCAGAACTGAGAAACAGCTTTTTTGGAACAAAAATAACCTATATCAAAACTTCCATTCTAATTGAATTTCCTTCTCTAGGCTCCTGGGCAATTTGTTTAAATTTCTGTAACTAATTTTTTGTTTCTTTTTCATCTGCATAATGATGAGGTGCTGACTATCTTGTTTACCTCAGAATTACTACAGATAAAAACTCGCACCTATAAAACTATTTTAGACTTAAAAACTATATATACAAGTACCTGTACACACGTGTAGATTGTATATAAAAGTATTTTAGACTTCAAAAGAACTACTTTGATGCTCATTTTCATTTGGTGCCAAACACAATAACAAGGCAGCTTTTCATATGTTTCACTTATTAGTGCTGCTGATTTTTTTTTTTTTTTAAATAAGCTCTTTGCCCAACACGGGGCTCAAACTCATGACCCTGAGATCAAAAGCTGCATGTTCCACCAACTGAGCCAATCAGACGCCCTAGTCCTGATTTTTTATAATGTGTCTTTGAGGTAGATTAAGTAGGAGACAGAGGTTAAAGAATTTTATCAGAAAATTGGAGATAAGAACTAAAGTTCATGGACCTGAATCCCAAGTTGTCTGGACCCAAACAGCCAAACTGCTATGGTCTATTCAAATAGTCCAAATTTACCAAGCATTGTTCTAAGTTCTGGACATGCAATGTCCAACAAGAGAAACCAGGTCTCTTGTCCTCATGGAGTTTATACCACAGTGCGGGAAACAGACATTAAGTAGACAGTTAAGGCTTACCTGAGGAAGGACATGGAAAGTAGTAACTGATGAATAAAAAGAAGTCAGCCACAAGAAGCAGGAGTGTAGAATATTCTAGGTAAAGGTCTTGAGATGGGAAAAAGTATGGGATGTTATAAGAACTAATAAAAGGCCAGTGTGGTTGAGATTTAGCAAAGAAAGGTAAGTGTTAGGAAAGATGAGATTGAAGAGGTGGGCAAGTACCAGATCATGATGGGCCCTGGAGGCCAAAAGGAGTTTGAATTTTGTTGTGAATGCAACAGAGTGCACTGAAGACTTTTGAAAAGAATCTACTTTATTACAGGCAACACACTGATTTTAAGTATACTAGGATTAATTCTGACAAACATACACCCCAGTGCAACTACCACCTAAATCAAGGTGTACATAGAACTTCCATCCCCCCTGGAAGTTTCCTCCTATTCCTTTGCTTCTCAAGCACAAGAATGTTCTCTGATGTTTCTCCTCCCCCACTATGGAGGGATGATTTCTACCACCACAGCTTAGTTATAACTGTTTTAGAACTCTGTATTAATGGAATTACATAGTATGTATTCTTGTCCATCTTTTGGCTGTCCATCTTGTCCACTTTTTTAGCTCAACAGGTTTGGGCAATTCATTGTTGAGTCTAGGACCCTCCTTTTTGTTGACAGATAGTATTCCATTATATGAGTTTACCACAATTCATAATCATCTGTTGATGGACATCTGGGTTGTCTCCAGTTTCGAGCTACTACAAATAGCACTGCTATGAACATTTCTGAACACAATCTTTTGTTTTTTTTTTTGAGCGTTTATTTTTTATTTTTGGGACAGAGAGAGACAGAGCATGAACGGGGGGAGGGGCAGAGAGAGAGGGAGACACAGAATCGGAAACAGGCTCTGAGCCATCAGCCCAGAGCCTGACGCGGGGCTCGAACTCACGGACCGCGAGATCGTGACCTGGCTGAAGTCGGACGCTTAACCGACTGCGCCACCCAGGCGCCCCTGAACACAATCTTTTGTGAATGTGTTTTCATTTTTCTTGTCTATATACCTGGCAGTGGAATTGCTGGGTCATAGGGCGAGTGTATACATAACTTTATAAGAAACTGACAAACCTCAATAAAGCTGTTAAAAAAAATCTTGCTGAACTCTTTTGCACAGTACAATTTTATACCCCCCCCCCCAGCAAAGTATGAGAGTTCCAATTGTTCTTCACCTCTGCTAATGCTGGATATTATCAGACTTTAAAACCGTTTCAGTGGATGTGCAGTGGTATCTCAGTCCCTCATGTCCAATAATGTTGAGGACATTTACATGTGCTTACTGGACATCCAAATATCCTTTCAGTGAAGGTTTTTATTTTTTTTATTTTTATTTTTTTTTCCAAAGTTTATTTATTTTTGGGACAGAGAGAGACAGAGCATGAATGGGGGAGGGGCAGAGACACAGAATCGGAAACAGGCTCCAGGCTCTGAGCCATCAGCCCAGAGCCCGACGCGGGGCTCGAACTCACAGTCCGTGAGATCGTGACCTGGCTGAAGTTGGACGCTTAACCGACTGCGCCACCCAGGCGCCCCTCAGTGAAGGTTTTTAAAAGTGAGAAGATAATGCAATACAATTTACATTTAAAATAAATAGAGTTTTGTCAACTCTGAATTCTTTATGATACAGAGATGCTATGGGCTTCCTTCCTGTGGGGCATTCTGCAGTGATCCAAAGATTCTGATTCCTCTCATTTCAAGTGATCCTGTGGCGGTCACTTTGTGTTTTGTAAAACAAATGAACTTTCAATCTGTGAAAGAAAGACCTTTTAAGGTTGCGAACCCCAGAGGTCAGAGCTTGAAATGCTTCTTTTTTTCTTCTTTTTTCTAAAATGTTTGCTTATTTTTGAGAGACTGAATGAGACGGGGGTTGGTGGTGGTGCCTGTACAGAGGATCTGAAGTGGACTCTGAGCTGACAGCAGAGAGCCTGATGCAGGGCTCAAACTCACATGAACCATGAGATCATGACCTGAGCCAAAGGGATGCTTAAGGGACTGAGCCACCCAGGCACCCCTAGGCTGTATTTTTTTAAAACTGATGGAACCACAAAGAAAACATCATCAAGACAGACTACATAGCAGAAGGTGTTCTCATTTATAACCTTTGCACTAGACTAAAAGTTCTTTTTTACTTACAACAAGAAAATGAGACATTTAGCAAGAATTTTAACTTTCAATTCAGATTATCTGCTTAAGAGTTTCACTTATTCTTCTTTTGATTACTATCCTACATTATAAACTACTGTTTCTGATGAAAAGAATTTCTTTAATTTTTTTTTTTAAGAGAGAGAGAGAGAGCATGAATGGGGCAGGGGCAGAGGGAGAGAGAATCTTAAGCAGGGGCAATGCTTATTAGCATGGAGCCCAATGCGGGGCTCTATCTCATGACCTGAAATCATGACCTGAGCTGAATTCAGGAATCAGATACTCAACCGACTAAAAACCACCCAGGCATCCCTAATAAGAAGAGTTTTAAGGGGCACCTGGGTGGCTCAGTCAGTTAAGCATCTGACTTCGGCTCAGGTCATGATCTCGTGGTCTGTGAGTTTGAGCCCCGCATCAGGCTCTGTGCTGACAGCTCAGAGCCTGGAGCCTGCTTCAGATTGTGTTTCCCTCCCTCTCCCTCCCTCCCCCTCTCTCTCTCTCTCTCTGCCCCTCCCCCACTCATGCTCTGTCTCTCTCTCTCTCAAAAATAAATAAACATTAAAAAAAAAAAAAGAATTCTAAAAAGACACTGATACATGTAGCTACATTATTTTGTCTGGGAAGGTAAAGCATTCAAACAAAGTTAGTCTGAATTTTCTGCAAAACTTTCTCCTCCCACTCTATTACAATGATTAACTTATTACTTAATAAAGAATCTTTTCAAAACTTTTACAAACATTATGCGTAAGTTATATAAAGAAATTCATAGTATTCAATCAATTTCTTAGTTTTGATGAATACTTTATGGTCATATGTTAACATAAGGGGAAACTGAATGAAAGGTACAGGGAATCCTCTGAAGTATTTTTTCTAACACTTTTATTGGTCTGCAACTATCTCAAAAGAAAACTATCTGAAAGAAACTTATACAAGAAATAGGAAATTTTAGGGCCACCTGGATGGCTCAATCAGTTAAGCGTCCAACTTCAGCTTAGGTCATGATCTCGTGGTTTGAGCCCCACATCAGGCTCTGTGTTAACAGCTCAGAACCTGGAGCCTGCTTCAGATTCTGTGTCTCCCTCTCTCTCTGCCCCTCCCCTGCTTGTGTTCTTTCTCTCTCTCTCTCAAAAAATAAACATTAAAGAAAAAGAAATATGAAATTTTAATTGCTAATTTGTTAATTTTAATTAATACATACCACATACATACATACATACCTACCTACCTACCTCATCAAGCTTGGTGACTTAATTTACTGAACTTAGTATAATTGAGAAGCCATAATTAGAAAGAAAATAGCCTTACTGTTTGGTTTCTTTGTGGTAGTCGACAATTCCTCTTCTTCAGCTGCTGCCTGGGGAAAGCTATCTGCCAAACAGGATTCATACTCTTCATGTGTTGTCCGATCAAACATATCTTCCAAGCTATCATTCATTTTTCTTTCTCCATCTATGTAAAAGAGCTTTGGCTTAGCAACAAGCAAGCTTTTTGCTTTCCACGTAGACCAATATGAAACTTATAGTAACTGCCATAAGATAAACTGGTCTCCAATGTACACGAGGCAACAATAAATCCCCAAGCCTAGGTAGTTACTGTATTTACAAAGACTTTATGTTAGGGCTTTAAATGTCCTTTGCTCATACGCAGAGAATGCTTTTTGTTGTTGTCATTACAAACATTAAAAAACTTTTTCTATTAGTCCATGTATAATTCATACTGCACTAAAATGAGTACTATCAAAAAACTGTGAGGAACAGAAAATGCATCAGAATGATGAAAACTATGAAGCTTAATAAATAAGATATGTATAAATAGTGGACATTCAAATCTATACAACCTTGCTCATCTGCTTAATTTTATGCCACCATTAACACTTGGTAATTTAGTATTAATAAAAGGAACAAATTCCTTATTTGATATGCTAAGTGCTAAATTCATCTTCAGAGTACTAACTACATTTCTCACTATATAATCACATTTTGAAAAACAGCAGTTTACTAAAAAACAGAAATAGATCCAGTTGGCCAACAAACATGATAGAGCAGAAGCCTGCCAAGATTACTCTCTATAAAATAACTACAACTTCCCTAATCCACGGTGCTGCAGCACCCTTACCCTGTTTTATCTTTCTCCACAACTTATCATCTATCATACCCCACATTTGATTGTTTCCCCTTAAATTAGAAGGCATGTTCCATGAAGTAGGTACTTTTGTTCTGTTTATTCATTATTTCCAGTTTCTGAAACACTTCCCTTTATAGAACTGCAGCTCTGTATTTACTGAATGAGTAAACAATTTTTTTTTTTTACATTGAGGATCAAATTTGTAAGTAATATGCAACTTCTACGTGCCAGGCAGTGTGCTAGGTATCCCAAGTATTCTGTATATACTGCTAGTAAATCACAATGTTAAGTCACTACTTTATGGTTTTTTTTTTAAACGTTTAAAAATCTTGGTAAGTAATCTCCACATCCATCGTGTGGCTGAAACTCACGACCCTGAGATTAAAAGTCACATGCTCTACCGACTGAGCCAGCCAGGCACCCCCCTAGTTTATGTTGGTGGTCTGACTTTTTTTAAGTAGGGCTCCATGCACAACATGGGGCTTGAACTCACAACCCTAAGAGTGAAAGTCGCATGCTCTACTGACTGAACCATACCTGTTGGTCTGATTTCTGACTTGAAATTCTTGAAAACATAGATTATAGATTATATCCTCATTAATTTTCCTGGACCACAGAAACTACGAAAGCTAAGAATATGACTGTTGTGTTTTAATCCCTAAGTTATCAGAGTGATTTATTATATAGTAATAGTATGCACAATATCTATGTAGCCAAAACTATCTCCACTCATTAGTTCAAATTCTAAACTTACTTCCATATGATTCTTGCTTCAAACATATTTGGGAAACTATCATATTCTTTGAAGTGACCCGATACATTTGAAGCCACAGTAGTCATATTTTAGTTTTGCCTTTTTTCTTTTTTTTTTTCAATAATATTAGAAGCTGGTACCAGAACAAAGTAATCTTAAAAGCAAAGTACCTTCTGAAGAAGAAAGTTACTTTAGTGTCGTTCACTATAAAAGGACAATAAATCACCGTTAAAGGCTTTTTTCTGTTTATAGGTACTGTCCTCTCAATGTAGGCAGCTAGCTATTTGGTCATGTAGTTACTCATTCCTAAAGAACAAAGAATTAAGGCACAGACTACTACAATTTTTTCTCACTTACTGCAGTTAGGGCAGCAAGAGATAAAGTGTTTCAAAAAAAAAAAGCAAGGACAAGACTGGCTTCAGCCCTGGGCAGGTAGACTAAAGAATATTCAGAAGAAGATAGGGAATGTACATATAGTCTGAATGTCCTCAGTTTCTAACAGCTGATCACTGGAGAGTGTCCTTGCTTTTGGCACTGCATCCCCCATGGCAGGTCCTAACCCCTTAATACATAAGGGTGTAAGTGACACTATTCCTGGTCTAGTTGCTCTCATGCCATACACATCTGTAGTTAGGAGTGTTGCTAAGGTGGTGCTAACCAAAATCCTTCCATTGTTCCCACCTCTTTTGGAAAATCAAGGCTCTAGATGAAGACTTAAGTTCTTACAAAAGGCTGTAGACCCCTAATTTGGCCAAATCCCCTTTTCTGTAGAAGCAAAATATGGCAGAGTAGCTCAGTATATACACCATTATTCTTAGTTAACTGCTAATTTGCAAATCTATACAAATACTTCTCGGTAGACTCTCCCCTTTTTACCCTATAAATTACTCTGGAAATTCATATTTCTGAAACAGGACTCTCAAGATTCCCTTTTACAAAATAGATCTAATTACCAGAGATCAGCAAATTTTTTCTTAAAGGGTCAGACAGGAAATATTTTAGGCCTGAGGGCCCAATAAGGTCTGCAGCTACTACTCTACTCTGCTATGGTACCATGCAAGCAGCCATAGGCAATACATAAACAAAATAACTGAGGCTGTGTTCCAATAAATCTTTATTTATAAAACAGGCAGCTGACTATGGTTTGCTGAACCCTGGAAACAATTTAAATTTTTTCTGGAAAAAAAATGTTTTAGCTAAAGATTTTTTTTCCCTTGAAATACTGAAAGTGAGCTTTACTAAGAAAAATCTAATATTATTAAAAGATGAAAAAAACCTGGTTTATGGTGAAGAGGTCACTTGTGGTCATCAATGTAATGGTATGACTATAAACTTCCCTCCACATTTTTATTAAATTAAAAAAAAAATCAAATCTTACTTGGACTTTTCTCTCCCTTTTGTTCTTGCTTCTTCATTTTTAGAAGCACCGTTTCACTAACCAATGTGCAGTCCGTGTCCACTGTCTCTCCTCCTGCTAATCGTGACTGACTGCCATCCTAAATATTTAAAAATTCAAAAATTTTAACAATTATCCTGCATGGCCTTATATTTATGTTTTTAAAATTTTGGTATAATATACACACCATGAAATTGACCATTTTAACCATATTTTAAGTGTATACTTCAGCATTAAGTTATATTTATTTTTACCCTTTAGGAATATACATAGATTTATACATATATGCCTGTGAAGTATTTTAGCTTCAACGTACAAGCATCTTCTCTCAAGCCTATGAAAAGAAAGCCTGCTGCCAAGGGAAGGGAGAAGTACGCTCCACTGAACTCCCTGAGCCTCTCCTCCCTTCCTCTCCAGCCTGCCTCACAGTAACGAACATCAGCGTACACAAAGAACAATTTATACTGCAGCAGCAGTGAAATACTTCAGGAATATGCTACCAAGTGAAAAAGAATTTCTTTAACTACACAGAACCTAAATACAAGCCAAAAGAGTTATTATCAAAAGCATCATAAAGTTAGAAGAAAAAGTATTTTTCTTTCTTAGTTTTCTGAATGAGTAAATGCAGGTTTTAAGCAGTATGTAATCGATTATGTTACAGTCACAGAGTGAGTTAGGAGAGGAAGGTAACTAACAACTTACTAGAATAACCACATGTGCTTTGGTTTTATTTTCTAACTTACCTTTGTATCTATTACAGTAATATCCATTTTATATTGAGAAAGGTCTGCTCCTGGATCTATGCTCCACTGGTTATTTTCAAAGGATACATCTTCAATAAGGAGAAAAAAATAGAATTAAAAATGGATTTTAAAATTTCTTAAACCATTATGGGATCCACAAATGGGAGAAAGGATTTGAAAATCATATATCTGCTAAATAGACTATCTAGGACATAGAGAATATAAAGAAGTCTTACAACTCAATAATAAGAAAAATACTCCAATTGAAAATGAGCAAAGGATCTGAACAGACAACCCCTTGAAGAAGATATACAAATGGCCAAAAAGCACACGATAAGATGTTCTACAGCATTAGCCAGCAGGGAAAGGCAAATCATAACCACTATGAGACACTACTTCACATGCAGTAGGATGGCTAGAGTAAAAAACAGATAATAACAAGCATTGGTGAGAATGTGGAGAGTGGGAACCTCATGTGCTAGTAGCCACTTTGGAAAGCAGATGGTTCCTCAAAAGGTTAAACAGAGTGAGCATATGGCCCAACAATTCTTCTCCTATGTAACTCAAGAAAAATGAAAAGATACATCTACATAAAACTGTAAGTCAACAGCTATGCTCATAGCAGCATTATTTGTAATAATGAAAAAAATGAAAGTAAAATTAAGTCACAAAAGATCATATATTATATGATTCCATTTATATGAAAACTCCAGAGTAGGCAAATCTATAGAGACAGAGGGTAGATTAGTGGTTGCCTAGGATTGGGGAAGAGGGGAGGAATGCAGAATGATTGGTAATGGGTATTGTTCTTTATTTAGAAAAAATATTTAACTTAAGTATAATTAACATACACTGTTACATTAGTTTCAGCTGTGCAATATGATTCCGCAACTCTATACACTTCTCAGTGCTCATAAGATAAGCATACTCTTAATCCCCTTCATCTATTTCACTCATTCCCCACCCCTCTCCTCCCCTCTGGCTATCATCAGTTTGATCTCTGTGTTTAAGAGTCTTTTGGTTTTGCCTCTTCTGTTTGTTTTACTTCTTAAATTCTACATATAAGAAATCATATGGTATTTGTCTTTCTCTGACTTATTTCACTTAGCATTATACCAAGTCCATCCATGTTGTTGCAAATGGCAAGATCTCGTTCTTTTTTATGGCTGAATAATATTCTACTGTACATACATAACCACATCTTTTTTATCTATTATTTATGGATACTTGAATTGCTTTCATATCGGCTATGGTAAATAATAATATAATAAACATAGTGGTGCATAGATCTTTTAGAATTAGTATTTTTATTTCTTTTAAGTAAATAAATACCCAGTAGTGGAAATATTGGATCATATGGTAATTCTATTTTTAATTTTTTGAGGAACCTCCATACCATTTTCCAAAGTAGCTGTACCTGTGGAGAAAAGGGAACCCTCTTGCACTGTTGGCAGGAATGCAAACTGGTGAAGCCGCTCTGGAAAACAGCGTGGAGGTTCCTCAAAAAATTAAAAATAGATCTACCCTATGACCCAGCAATAGCACTGCTAGGAATTTACCCAAGGGATACAGGAGTGCTGATGCATAGGGGCACTTGTACCCCAATGTTTATAGCAGCACTTTGAACAATAGCCAAATTATGGAAAGAGCCTAAATGTCCATCAACTGATGAATGGATAAAGAAGATGTGGTTTATATATACAATGGAATACTACTTGGCAATGAGAAAGAATGAAATATGGTCTTTTGTAGCAATGTGGATGGAACTGGAGAGTGTTATGCTAAGTGAAATAAGTCAGGCAGAAA